CATTAAAACCCAGAGGTGTACAGAAGTGGTTTTTGTAAGCCATGGAGAGCTGAGCTACGTGTGCATTTAAATTCACAAGGGCCACGTGGGATATCTGGATTCAGCAGAGGATACTTAGAAGCAAACTACAATGTTTTTCAAATTGGTAAGTTTGTATTTTGTATGGGGGGCCTCGTAGTTACATTGAAAATCTGTGAGAAGTTAGGAACCCTTTCTTGAACCATGTCCCTAGCAGCTTGAAGAAATGGTCTTGTGTCTCTGATACCAGCAGGGCTCTCCTGTTAAAAGTGTGGTGGCAGAAAACAGGATACAATTGTTACTTGAGGTAGTAGATTATACCTGCCTCAAGCTGTCCTTTCATTGCCTGCCCTTTGCTCTTCAGTTCCCAAGGGTGTGCTTCTCTCGTTTTCTGCGCTGCTTGGGCAGTATTTAACAGTTCTTTTCTCTGCCCTAATGTAATGCTGTGGCCAAGGAGGCTTTTCACCAGAGGAGATAATTAGGCAACCATAAGGAAGCATGTCCGTGCTCTTTATATACTAGGAATGTGTTTTTGTTTTCTAGGAGTAAGAATGAAGGTCACTGGAAATCTTAGCACTGTCCAGTTGGCAAGATAAATATGTGTGAATATTGGTAAAACGCTGCTTCAGATCAGCTAACACTGAGGCAAACAAGCAGAATTAGATAGTATCTTTATTCTTAGGCCTTCCGCTGAAGGCTTGAGAAACATGGTCATTAAACTTCATTGGCTTCAGTTACATCCAGCACATGATGACAGAACTACAAATAATTCATTTATTCACAGAGCTTCATAGCAGTCATTCTGCCAGTCTGCTCACACCAAATAGCAAAAAATTGATTAATAATTAGTATTTGCTAATATACAGACACCAACTGACATGATCTTTCTGGGTAGGAAAGGAAGCTTGTGTACCACTGAAGCTGCTAGCTTTCTACAGGAAAGTACCATTTTTGTTATCCAGAAGCAGCAAGGTGTTGACTGTTTTGGTTTTCCAGCACAATCCTGTTACACAAACTTGTGTTCATCTCTGCCTTAAGAAAAAATTCTTCATGCTGGAAAGGACATTGCTCTAAGAAAAGCATCTTAAGTTAGCTTCTCAGTATTTTTTGTTTATTATTTAGATGGTCTTAAAATTGCAGAGAAGAATGAAACATAGATCTGAAACTGTTGGCATAGCAATAGTTCTGCAGAACTGCTCTCTTCTGTCATCAGTCTGTCAGATATTTTTCATCCACAAGCTGTTTATTCCACAGTGCTATGACAAAGAGAGGGGGATTGAGTCCCATTCATAGTAATGAGTTGTTTGGAACTTGAAAATGCTATTAGCTTTTTGATGGCATGGATCATAGGGATCACAGTATTTTAAAGGTGCCTAAACATGGGAATGTAAGAACCTTAAACTGTCTTCTGTATAATAAATGCACTACATGTAGGGCGGAGTCTCGGATGCAAAACAAAGCTTTGCTGAGAAGCTAATATATAGGCAGCTGCCTCCCTGGTGTTGTTGGAGCAGTCTGTGAATGAAGTGAAAGTCAGTGTTGTGTTTGTGGTTGAAAGTAACATCGGAGGATCTTGCCGAGGTATAAATAATCCTATACAGAAAACACAAAGGAGAGTGAGAATTAGTATCCTGTTGCTTATCACCAGGATCTTGAATATCCTTGAAGGTAAGAATGTAGCAGCTTTTCAGTTAATTCAGATTATACTTCAGAGAGGGTTTGTACGTTTTAATTCCTTTTCCCTGGATCATTATGTAAGACTAGGCTCTTTATAATTAGTTTAATTCCTGATTAGGCTTGTGTGCTCTAGATAATGTATTTCTCAAGGCAAAACATATCAGGCTAGTTTGCCCAAATACCTGTTTTAAAAAAATCCATAGATTGCAGAAGTCTCAAAACAGTTTTAATTTCTTTATAATACAGCAGGATATGACTTGAATTGAATCTGAGTTTCATGGGATGCAGAGATCATACTGTAACTTGCATTTACTATGCTTCTTGATAAGGGAATTTCAATTTTAGAGTAATTTAATTTCTCATGGTAAATATATGTCAATGTTGAGGATGTTTACAAACTTAATAAGACAATTTCCAGTTTTCTGGGAAAAGGAACATCTGCCAAACTCCACACTGTAAAGTTGTTGTTTTCTTGTGATTGTTTGGGTTTTTTTATGGCATTGTATTTCAACCAAACAAATGCAACTAAAATTGAAGAGGTTACACAGTAGTTACTTACGTAGTTAACAAAACATGGGCAAGTATTGCTTGTAGGCAGTCTTTTTGTTTAATAACCTGAAGTGTTTTAAGCAATCCGTATGGTTTTCTTAAAGATAATATTTGTTCTTTCCCTAATTAAAGATAAATGAGCAACCACTCTTCCTAGACAACTGAAAGGTCTCATTTTCAAGTTTAATTTGCATCACTTGGTGGAGGATTAAAGTAATCTTATTAAAAGGCCGCATTTAAATTTTGCAGTCACCTAAGAGATGGTAGACAGATGTGAAATGGGAATTATCCATAAAGCATGAAAGTTAAATTAGCAGCTTTCTAATTTAACTTTTTAATTTGGAAGATATCTTTACAAGACTGGAGCCTTTTTGGTGGAGTTGGGATATCTTTTGATGGATCTGCAATATGATGCTTGCTGTCAATGCATCATGATGTTAAAGGCCATGTTTTTATGCGTGGAGTTATTAAAAAAGTACGTGTACGTTATACTTTTTTTTTTTTTTCATTTACAAGGTGTTTAAATACACTATGGGCAAGTTTCTTTTTTATGGAAACAGATAATGAGACACTGTGAATGCTTTTCTTAGTAGGTGACGTTGGTCAGTGTTTTCGAGATGTGTAACATTAGACACTTAGATCCCTATACAAGTACGTGTTACGTGTGATGGGTTAAATGCTTTTCAGTTTCCAAGGGGAAATACTTAGGTGCTGCTTTGGTGAGGGTTATGTCTCTGCTGTGCAAGAATTCACCTTGTATTTGGAAACTCTGGCTTTGTGTGTTTATAAAAAGAAGTGTGCACTACCAGCGTAGCATGTGGATTCTGGGATTTTTAGTAGGTTAGAAGCCCCTAAAAAGCCATGTCTCTGAGTATGTTTCTCTCTCTTTATCTTTTTAATGCAGATATACTTTCAGAAGTACAGCTCTGGGGCATTCTTTTCTTTTAAAAAATCCTAAGGCTACTTCAGTTTGAGTTAATCTAATGCCACTTTGATTTTCTCTTACATGTTTCTTAGAGAGGTCTTGCGGCTCGGGGAGTGATGCACTTTAAGGTAGTTCTTCCTGTGGTTACAAATGTTATTTCCGGTACCTTGAATAAGTATAATTACTTGTTATGTGTTAATTCTTACCATGATGGTCTTGGTTTAAAAATTTTCCTGTTTTTTTTCAGTCCTGTCAGCTGTGTGTAGGTCTGAAAAGAGAAACATGGATAAAAGTTTCAGGGAATAGCATGTGAATGCCTGAAATCTTATGTCTTGACACCATTATAAGAAAAGGGGGTGAACTGATGAAAACATGAACTCCAGGCTAGCAAAAGCAAGATATTCTTTATCCTTTTACAACTGTCTTCAAAAAAAACAGGAACCTGGTCTTGCAAATACAGTGTGTAACACTAGAGTGAAACTTTGTCTTCAGGTGCAACATTGAAACTTGGAGACCTCTTAAGGCCTTGCAGTTCAGACAATAATAGCAGTTAGATAAGTTGTTCATATTGTATAACCAGGAAAAACAGACTAAATTATGTACAAAAGGGTGATAGAGTTAGTTGTCCAAATAATAGGATTGATACGTGGATGAGTGTGGAAGAAGCAAAAAGCTATGTATCTTTGGTTTAGTGGTGGTGTTCCAGTGTGCTAGGTTAACGGTTGGATTTTATGATCCTAAATTTTTTTCCAACCAAAACAATTATATAATTCTATGATAATTCTATTATGTCAGAGCAAAGAGACTTAAATTCTCAACACAATTTTTTGAGACAAAGATAGTTCTCTATAGCAAATATGACTTTATACATGTGATACAAAATAGATCAGAATGACTTGACAATAAGGTGAGATAGAACAAATCTTTATTAAGGACAATGGTGTAGTCCCCAGTATTGCAAATCAGGAAGATGGGACCAAAATTCAAGATGTAAAGGAATGTGTGAGTGCTATGATTATCTTTTTTATATCTTATATCTGTGGTGAAGGTTATATGAGCAAGTGTCACTGCAGAGAAGTAGAACTTCTGAATTTGTTCACTGACATGCTGACCTCATGCAACTGTTGCCCTGTCACTCAAGTCTTGGACATTTATAAGAAAATAGCCGAAGTAGACTATAGTTTCTGTACAAAGAGGAAAAAAAAAAGAACTGCTAGGAATTTCCATCTTGAATTGGGGATATCTATCAGATATCTGGCAAAAATAAAAAATGATGCTGTGGTCAAGGTGAATGATGAGTCATAACTTTGTATCTTGTAACATAGACATTGGGGAATCTGAAAAAAAAAATCCAAAATTTAGCTTGTAATTAGATGTTACATTATAGTTTTTGCAGTTTTACATTGCTGGCCACAGATTTGTGTTGTGTTCAGTTTGTGGGATTTTCAAAATATGAAGTCTTAAGTATGCAATTTAATAATTGTAATACAATTGAAAAAATCAGTTTGCTACTCAAAATAGGTAAATGGAAAACCCAATCAACCCAACCCTATTTCAAGCATATTTTATCAATTTCAAAAGGAAGGGAAAAAAGCGGTATATCTAAAGAATGAAAGTTGGGTGAGGGAGCTGTGACCGGAATAACGTTGCTGGCAAATGGCTGCTGTTTGTGACGTATTTCTCTGGAGTTCAGAAAATGTGTGTGAGTTACTTTGTATCATCATGGTAGAGTTGGGAATAGCAATGTAGTAACCATAGTTGCAAATGTGTGTACAATGGTGTTGATTAATATATTTTTGACTGAGATCTAATACATTCTTTCTTTTCCTCAGATTCAATCACCCTATAAGGACCAATGTACCCAGTAGCTCATGGAAGAAAAAAATCAAACCAGGACATCCTTGGTTTCCAGGCTACCGAAATATGGAATGAAAACTTTAGGAAATGTCTTGCAACCTGTGCCAAATGGGACGGCTGTTGGTTTAGCAGGAAGTAATGGTGGCAAAGACTTCAGCAAGCACAATGGCACAGTGCGCATGTCTTCCTATTCTTTCAACTGGAAAAAACCCAATAAATATCAACTTCATGATCAAAACGAGAGAGAGACCAACTCTAAATATAATTGTAACGAAAAATTAATTGATTCCGAGAGGTATTCTCAGTCTCAAGGAGCGCTGGGTAACGATGTGCTCAGGGTGGGTTTGAACAGTACTTCGGTTGCCTCAAAAGCAGCAAAGCAAACCAGTATGTTTGTATCTAATACTGAGGAATTAAACCCAAAGTCTTTGCCTGGACTCTCTGGTTCAGCAAAATTCACCAAAGGCACCCTGTCAGGGAGGACCCCGTATTCTGGACTCAGTGCTCCAAAATCCAATTTAAATGGATTTTATGGAAACAGGCCGGTGGTAGGCTTGCAGAGACCTAGATCTAATTCCAGTGCCACAAGGACAAATTCAGGAGAAAGCCTGGCACAATCTACAGACAGTAGCAAGGCTTTTTCCTGTGAAAAAATGGTAAGATCACAAAGTTTTTCACATTCCATTCAGAATTCTTTCCTTCCCACTGCATCCTTAACCAGGTCACATTCCTTTAACAAAGCTGTGGATCTTACAAGGCCTTATCATAGTCAAAATGTAGCTGCCAGGACATCTCAGAGATCGACTCTGTTGTCAAGAAATGCCCGCCAGTTGGATGTACCAAATGGAAATGAACCTGTGAAGTATGGATTTACCAGGCCGTATTCTGGCACATCAGCTCCTTGTGCAAAGAAGCCCCCACTGTCAAATGGATCTGGGTCAGCACCATCTTTTGGATACAGATTGAGTCGGCCTTCTCTGCTGAAGCCCACCAGGCAGCAATTTGCTGGAAACACTGTTGTGGATGGCAGCAAAAGTACAACTCCTGACACATCCCTCGTGCAGACCTCTGAAATTTCAACAAATATTAACAGAGCAATTGAGAAGAGCAGCATTTTAGAGAGCAGTGCTCAAAGAGCAGAATCTGATCAGGGCCTGCATGAAAGTATGGGGAAACATGGATCAAAAGTCATGTGTATGAGTGATGATGGAGATGAAATATCTATATCTTCTTTGTCATCATCTGAAAAAAATGATTTGAGTGAAGACTTCAGTGATGATTTCATAGATATAGAAGACCCCAACAGAACTACACAAATAGAGCAAAAGGAAAGCTGCCTTCAAGAGTTAGAGCACATGAGCATCACATCCATCGAGCCGTTCACTTCTCTCAAGGAAGGTGGAGGATCCTGTGGTAATGCTGATGACTGGCTTGATATAAACGTGTCTGGTAAATACTTAATGTTCTGTTTGAAATTTTAGGTACTAATTCAAGGTTCTGTTAATACTTAAGGTGTTGTATAAATTACCCATCGATTGTGAATTGTTTCAGAATGGAACTTGGCTCTATGCTGGCCCATTTTATTTTCTTACAGTGCTTTTTCCATGTGATAGTTACCTTTGCCAGGCATGACTCTGAAGAGTTTTTTTTTCTTTGAGATTAGAGTGCCTCATTTAACCATGCTTGTGGTAGGGTTGTGGGATTCCTCATATCTTTGCTTTGCCATTTCTTTCTCTGGACTAGTGTTAATTTAAGGAAATTTCTTTCCCTCCACCCACTTTCTGACCCTTGAGGTGTAACCACTCATAGGTAGTGGGAGTAAGTGTAGGATGTCAAATTACATCAGTTAAATAATAGATATGAATGTCTTTTTTTCCAGAGGCATGCTGTATTCTTTAAAACTTAGTGGAAGAGACAGAAGATGGTTTTAAAAGCTGCATTTTAAAGTCCTTGGTGGGCTTCTCTTAATACACACTTGTTTTGAGAGAAGTTACAATTGAATTCAAAGAATCTATATTTGCATCCACCCTCTAATGTTGAAAGCTGCTTACTAGAATTCTGAATCCTTTTATGGGGAGTGAATTAAGCAGTGTAAAAGGCTGGCAAGGAGGTAGGTTGGAAGGATGCTTAGTTATAGCTGCCAAACCAGCTTGAGCTTTTTTTCCCCTCCAGGAAGAGTGAACAATATGACAGAATTCTTTCAGAGATTTCTGTAACAGTACAGTTTCAGAAAAGTTAACGCACCAATAACACACACATTAATTGGATTAATTAATTGGATTAATTGGATTGTTTCTGGAATCTTGACTATTCCTGTTTTCTTTAAGCAGTGGATGACAACAGTGAAAGCACAAAGCATACTTCCAAGAGTGTGATTTCTCCAGAGATGAATTACAGAGCTGGTTCCTCTTTTGAGCTTTCTCCATCTGACAGCTCTGATGGCACGTATATGTGGGATGAAGAAGGACTGGAACCTATTGGAAGTGTCCATCCTTGTGGAAGTTATGAATCTTCAGAAATGAACAGCATAGTATGTATTTATGTGCATAAGTTGCATAATTCTAGTGCTTTTAGTTCATTGATTATTAAGTATATTTAAAAAATAGAGTTAACGTATTTTTCACTTCATAGTTGTTTCCTCTTTCCTCTGTAGTTGATAGATTATTTTTTTTTAAGTTTGTGTTTCTGAACAGGTGACCTTGGTTAGGCTATTTACATACATTTATTTTCCTTACTCTCAAGTTAGGACAGAGCAGGTCCTTCCTAATGCAATCTCATGGTAGTGCTCACAGAATATAAGCTAATTAATTCCTGCAAATGTTAGGTTAAATATCACCGACCAGTCTATAAACCTAGGAGTGAAAATGAAATAAAATACCAGTCGCCTTTCTGACTTCTTCCACCATCTTGTGTCTGTACTGTGTATGTATTCAGACCCTGTTGAACCAACGTTTATTTTGATTTCTCAGTTTGTTCAAGCTCAGAACCTTTACAGTAGACACCTGACTGTAGTGTGATACACAAGATGCATAACAACCTTGTTCTTACTGCTACGTTTATAACTGATCTGCCAGAAGCATGAAGAGTGGATGGTGAGTTGTTTCAGCTGAAGAGTCACAGCACTGCATGCAGGGAGCGAAGTCTGGAATTTCAATGGACTTGAGGAAAATCTTGTCTGTCTGTCCATCATCCCTTTTCACTGTTCATATTCATTTATCCAAGCACTGTTTTGAATTACACAACTCAGATTTTATTAGTATGATACTTAACAGTCAGAACTTGTAACAAAATTCCGTAGGAGCAATGCGTCATGCTTCATGTGCTTCAGGTGTGTTAGATACTGTGTCACTACCACCAGTTTAGTAAGGTAGATGCCAGTTTTGGACTAGGACAGGATTTGTGACACCTGCTCAGACATCAATTTATAATCTTATTTGGATTGACTGTACTAGTCCAAAAGCAGAACAACAAGAAATTTCTCCTGAAAATTGAGTGTAGCTGTGAAATTACATTGATATGTGTAACAAGTACAAACAAATTCCTGATATATTTTCACCTGCTTGTAGTATTGTTTGTTTTCTGTCTTAAATTACAATGTTGGGGTGTAATGTTTTAAAGAATTTAGAAATGGTTATTAAGTTTTCATGGTAGTTGTGGCCAGCTTGGAAAAACTGCTTGAGACTTTTTCTGTATGAACTTTGTAGCTTTTTCATGTTTTGGGGGACAGAAAGGTTTAACGTAGGTCACTGCAAAAACAGGTACCTTTTTTCCCCAGACACGTGCATGCACATGCCACGGAAGAAAGCAAATTTTTAACCTTTGTCTTTCATAATTTTAAAATATAGATATTTTTGATACATACGCTGAAATTTATCAGACAAATGAAAGACATTGGTTTTGATGCATGTAACCTCCATGCATTAATTTGCTTGTGCATAAATTGATAGTCAATCAGTGCTCTTATTGACAGAAGCTGGTGTAAGCCTTATAGAGCAGAGGTACATTAGAAGCTTTTCAACTACTTGTATTTATTTCTTCCTTTACTGAAAGTAAATATGTTTTAGAGAGGACTTAAAAATTCAACGAATTTACTAGGTTTAGAGGAGGTGGAGAAAGAAGGTAGTTTTAAGACTGCCTGTTGAATCTAGAGAGTCATGTGCTTTTTCCACCTGTATTTTGATTTTATCCTGTTAGTGTTTTTCCAGAATTACGATGCTTGCTGTACAGTGATTCTTTATTTTTTTTATCTTGAATGAGAGAAACATCAATAATACGTCTTTTATATATACAAGACAGAAATATATTTTCAGTTAGCTTCATTTTTGAGGGGAAGTTTTAGCTCTGAAATGTTTGTTGATTTGCCTTTTAGTGGTGGTTTTTGTTGTATTTTTTTCCCCGTGCTTCCTGGTCTTGGTGGGAAGCATGTTACATTTGATTTCTTTAGCCTGGAGATTTAACACTCATTTTTCTTCTGAAGATGCAGAAAAATTTCTGATAGCTTTTCATTCCTGAAGAATTAGATTCTTGGGTAGGTTAATCTAAGCTTTTGTTCCATGATTTTCCTTTTCTCTGCGGGCAGGGAGTGTAAAGACAGGTTAGAAAAAATAGAACTGCGTTGAGAATAATTACTGTGATTAGTCAGCACATCAGGTATTTTGATTGCTGGCAGGTGTGTGACCAAATTATGCAGTTTCCATCCTCTAGTGCAGTGAGGGTAAAAGTTAATATCTGTGTATCACAATCCAGTTAAGAGTCAGATTTAAGAATTTTGAGTGCTTGAGCTAATGCCAACCTTGACTGCCCCCTGGAACTAGTATTTCCATGAAAATCTCCAAAGCAGATAGTTAGTTCTGTAGTTTTTGTGGCATCAGGCTGGGGTGAGTAGAAGCAATGTAGCTGAATAACAATTCAGGTAATTAAATGGTGAGTAATTGGTAGTGTTGAGAGCAAAAATCACCTTGTTTTTAATTTCTGCCCTGCTGTTGTATTTTTAGTTTTTAAGCTGTTATCATCCTTAGTATCAACAAATATTACAGACTTTTCCTAAATTTTTCTGTAGATAGCAGTGCAGCTCTTATTAGGTAATCTTATATTAGAAGTATTTTGACTTTCTTTGAAAAGAGGATTTTAACTAGCTCTCTGGAGTTGCAATTGGAATAGGAAGGTGATGGAAGGGACTTGCTATCTACTTAATCTTTTAGTTGATTTTTTGGGAGGAGAAAAGCAGATGTTTGCTAGTTTCAATAGATCTGTGTTTTAAGGACAGGGAGTGAAAAAAAAATTGGCTTCTATAGAGACAGTCTTTGTGTTCTTCACTAACTGTGCCAATAGCTGTGGAGAAAATGTGCAATCAAATGTTGGGGCTTTTAAGTTAGAAAAATCTAAATAACCTCATAAGATGATGTCATAGGGACTTACAGCTGAGTAGAACATGAGGTGTTCTTGAGACCTTGTCAGAATGAAGAAGTTTGTATTCTCTAATTGTGTAACAAAACCATTTATTTCCTTGTCCCTCCTTCTGTTTCATTTCCAGTTTTTACTGGAATTTTACTGGAATTGAAATTTACTAACAAAGAGTAAATTGAAATTTGCTATCTATTGGGTAGCACTCTAAGAATTGAGCTTCCTTCAAGTTTTTAAGCATTTGTTTCATTTATATTCCTTATACTCCTTTCAACTGTTGGTATGCTACTAAACACCTAATAACTGATGTTATTTCTATTCAGTTCTGCGTGGGAAGACTGATGCTTAGCATACAGTTAAGTTGTCTCTGTAAATTAGCAACATAGACAATATTTGCCTACGTGTTTTCTTACTTAATGTTTAGTTTGTCTTACTCTGTCTTCTGAAGTGGTTCAAACTTCCTGCTCAGAAAAACAGTGACTTTGGGCTTGGAATGTCATACACATCAGCCTTGAAAGGTGTTTCTCATTGGCTTGCATCCGTGTGCATATATCTGAAGCTAGCGTTGCTGGCACCCCATCTGCTTAAGCTGATAAGGTTAAGTTCCACACTATTTTGTCCTGATGTCTTCAAGCTGTGTTTCAAATCTGACAAAAATTATGCTGACTTAACCATTAAGTTATAACAATAGCTTGCTTTCATTTTTACGATATTACAAGAATAGAAATCTCTGGCATTTGTTTTTCAAATCCTCAGTTTCTAAAAAAACCCTTCAGTTAAGTATAAATTCATATTTGGAAAAAACATTTGTTTGCTTGTTTCTGATTTCAAAGCCCCAAAAAGCAGTGTCACCTTTTTGCATTTAGTCTTCATTATGATCATATACTATTTATGGATATTAAATTGGTGGGAGTCCATCACTGATTAATGTGTCCACAGTTAAGCTTTTAGAAGAAAAATGTGCAACTGCAATATAAAACTCAGTCTATCATTTCTTGTCTTAATACAGAACTAAGAGTACAAACTTTTTTCTATATATTCTGTTAGCAAGGTTCCTCAACCATTCTTCCAGCGGTTTGCTTGCAGACAGTTTTCAGCTCATGGCAGAGAAAGGACATATTATGAAACTCACAACTGTGATTTCAGAGGTAAAGACTTCAGAGGGGAAATAGTCACTGCCTACCCTCCCACTGCCACTCTAGTCTTCATCTTCAGAGCTGAGCTATTACAGCAATGGGAGGTAGTGAGAAATTGAATTCCTTAATGAGATAGCATCTCTGTCTTGTGTGATGTACGTGTCCCTGCTGTCAAATATTATTAAGAGGTTATATCACTGTATTACAGAGCACAAACCTCTTGTGATGTTGCTTTGAAAGGCATGATGTTTTGTGAACAAGCTTTTATGGCAAATTACCTTTTTTCCCTAGGGATGGGAAAGCATATATGCCTTTGAGAGCTGCTTGATTCAGAACTGACACAGTAAATCCCATGCTGCTTTGACTGGTAATACAAAGTAAGGTAACTTCAAGGGTTTCATTTGTGGTAGCTGATAATGACAGCTTTGAATTTGTGTGGTGGAGTGAGAGCAGCAGTTGATTTGGTGCGTGAAAGATGAGAATACTGGGAGAAACCAGCAGTTTTTATTTTATAAACTTGTAGTAATTTTTTCTGTATGAGTTGGTAACTGCATCTTACATTTTAATGTGAGCTTATAGCTATTCCTTTTCATTTTTTTCTTTATTCTGCCAAGTAACATTATTTTTCAGTAACTGAAGGACTTCAGAATAACTCTAGTATACTTTATCTAACAGTATTGCTAAATTTTTAAGTCTCACATATTTTCCTTACTCCTAGGAAATTTTGAAATCATAGTGAGTGGGTAAACATGTTCCTGGAGAAAATGGTAGTCTTAAAGTTGAGATATTTCTCAAAGCTGTCAATGTAAACAAGAAAAACAAGAAAAACAAACCATAAATTGGAGGCATACATCTTACCCATGTAACTGGTTTTCTGAATGTTTTACAGATGACTTAATTAAAAACCTAGATAGGCATGCAGTTTCCTTTTACTTTTCCTTTTCACCTCATATTGTGTCCTAATAAGTTCTGGGAACACTGGTGATTAATC